GACCATCCCCCCTGGGGGGTGATTTCTCGCTTTCTGTCTCTATGTCTCTGTCTGTCTGGCGAGTGCACGTGCCCTACAGTGAAAATCTCTCCAAAAAAAAAAAAAGAAAGCAGAAAAGGGACCTATGTTTTAAAATAAATTACAAAACATTCGTCAAAGTTAGGTGGATTCTTCTTCGCACAGAAATCAGAAAGAAGCTTGGAACCCAGGACTCAACGCCATTGCTCGTACTTGACTGCTGCGTATGTGAGCTTTTATTTCATAGTTGGGACAAAGGCAAGCACTTTCTGGGAGAGCAGTTCTGGGAGTAAGTACACTGAGGCGTCGACACAGTACAGGTGAGAGGCTGTTCCCAGAGCCGGCACCCCGGAAACAGCTGTCCCGTCGCGAGGACACGCCGCGCCCTGACATCAGCCCGGCAGCCTGCGTGCAGAGAGAAACCACTGACGGCACTGTAGCAGGCGGGACTCACACAGGCGGGTGCCTGTCACACGTTCTCCTTGTCAAACTCGCACATGAAATACATGGTGATGTGGCAGGCCACGTCATTCCAGCCCCCCGAGGCCACCATCTCCACACAGTCCTCCTCGTCATAGGCATTGTTTGGCTCGCCACTGCGCCACTTGCTGAAGGTCTGCATGGGGGAGCGGTCCGAGTACACGAAGGCGCCCTCCTGCTCCAGGTCATTGATGCCGATGAAGACCCGCGCCAGGCCGGCCTGCGCCAGGTAGGCGGCCATGAGGCCATTAGCCGCCTCGTCCTTGGGCATGCCCAGCATGCCACCTCTGCGCTGGCAGGAGAGCTGTGCATCCACGTACCTCTTCTCCTCCTTCACAAGCAGGTAGATCTTGCTCTCTGTCTCCCGTACGCCAGCAACAGCTGCAGGGGAGGGCAGTGCTGGAAAGTGAGCACTGGAGTTCCTGTAACAAGCTTAGTGCCCCCCACATGTGCACGCACAGCAGGCTCACACACACACACAGCAGGTACACACAGGAGGAGCACACACCACAGGTACACACAGCAGGTGCACACACACAGCAGGTGCACACACAGGTGCACACAGCAGGTGCACACGTAGTAGGTGCACACACACAGCAGGCTTACACACGCACACAGCAGGTGCACACAGGAGGTGCACACACCACAGGTACACACAGCAGGTGCACACACACAGCAGGTGCACACACAGGTGCACACAGCAGGTGTACACGTAGTAGGTGCACACACACAGCAGGTTCACACATGCACACAGCAGGTGCACACAGGAGGTGCACACACCACAGGTACACACAGCAGGTGCACACACACAGCAGGTGCATACACAGCAGGTGCACACACACAGCAGGCTCACACACACACACAGCAGGTGCACACAGGAGGTGCACACACCGCAGGTACACACAGCACGTGCACACACATAGCAGGTGCACACACAGCAGGTACACACACAGCAGGTACACACAGCACATGCACACACATAGCAGGTGCACACAGCAGGTACATACACCACAGGTACACACAGCACATGCACACACATAGCAGGTGCACACAGCAGGTGCATACACAGCAGGTGCATACACAGCAGATGCACACACACATACACACAGCAGGTGCATACACAGCAGGTGCACACACAATTACACACACACAGCAGGTGCACACACAGAACATGCACACACACAGCAGGTGCATACACAGCAGGTGCACACACAGCAGGTGCACACAGGAGGTACACACACCGCAGGTACACACAGCAGGTGCACACACACAGCAGGTACACACACAGCAGGTGCACACACAGCAGGTGCATACACAGCAGGTGCACACACACAACAGGTACGCACACAGCAGGTGCACACAGCAGGTGCGCACACACACACACAGCACATACACACAACAGGTACGCACACAGCAGGTGCACACAGGAGGTACACACACCGCAGGTACACACAGCAGGTGCACACACACAGCAGGTACACACACAACAGGTGCATACACAGCAGGTGCACACACAATTACACACACACACAACAGGTACGCACACAGCAGGTGCAAACACACACACACAGCACATACACACACAACAGGTGCACGCATACAGCAGGTGCACACAGCAGGTGCACACTCACACACCAGGTGCACATGGTAGATGCACACAGCAGGAACACAAGCATGCATAGCATGTGTATATACAGTAGGTGCACACTCACACAGCAGGTGCACACACAGCAGGTGCACACTCACACACCAGGTGCACATGGTAGATGCACACAGCAGGAACACAAGCACACATAGCACGTGTACATACAGTAGGTGCACACTCACACAGCAGGTGCACACAGTAGGTACCTAGGCATGTAGCAGGTGTGCACACATAGCAGATGTACAACCATGCCCAGCATGTGCAGGGTGTGGGGTGGCCATAGAGGAACAGGGGTGCAAGGAAAGGGAAAGCTGAGGCAAGATACCGTTTTTTATGAACTTCAGCTCTGTGGTCAGCTGGGTGACCTGGTTGTCCATCTCCCCGATGGCCTTCCTCAGCTGGCTGCACTCACAGGGGATGCCTGTGGGACCCACCCATGGTATCAGGAAGATTAGACGGAGGCAGGGCTTAGAAAAGAAGTGCCCCTTCCCCAAGAGTGACGAGGACACGACAACCCCACCAGGTAGGCCTCTCAGGCCATCACGACTGTCTTGCACTGGCCCAACCTCAGTAGTGAACCACAGGGCTGGAGGCCACGTGGCCGACCCAGGCTCAGGCCCCTGCCCCGGGGCTGAGACACGCCTACGGTCCTGATGAGCTAGGGCCATGGGAAGGGGGATGCAAGGAGACTCGTGAGGATTCGCGCTGAGCTCCTGGGTCTGGTTTGCCGCCCTGGCTAGACAGGAAGCCTCGGCGCCATCTCCGTGCCCAAACGCGGGGCCCTCCAGTGCCGTGCGGGCTGGCTGGCGAGCTGGGCAGAGCTCATCACCAGGTGCGCCAGCCAGTCCTCTGGTCTGGGGTTTCTCCCTGGCCCCTTTGGGGAACCCAACCTCCTCCTGGGAAGAGCTCCATCCACCTGGCACCCTGGGCAGTGCCGAGGCTCCGTCGATCCTGCCTGCTGCACCTCTCCCTGGGATCTGGACCCGGTACGCTGCAGGGTAGGGGCAGGACGTGTCCTCTCGAGCTCAGCCTGGTCTGCAACCCGCCCTTCAGCCGGCCCCTGTGGGAGTCTGCCCCCGCGTCCTAAGACACCAGCAGGCCTGTGGGCCCACACGGCGCCCTCCTTCCCGTCATGGGCTTTTTCACACGATGGCACTGGGCGGGGGGTCTTTCTAGTGCTTTCTAGTGGCAGCGTCCCCTGAGATGATGTCGTCCTCCAGCGTACTTCGGTCTGAGCTCGGGAGGCTCTGGAGGGACCCCTGCAGTGGGACATGGGCGGATGCCTTTCCCTCCTTCCTTGCAAACCTCCTGATGAGCCCTGTCCCCGCCAGGAGGGACCTGCCCAGGGCACAGCCCCCGCACACGCTCACTGCCGCTGTGCCCTTCCCATCTCCTGACAACTTGTCCCGGTCCCTGAGCTTTGCAGAGCATGAGGAGAGGCCACCAGGGAGCGGGCGGCCGCGTGGCAGCCTTCCTCAGGTGACTGCCCCGCATCTCTGTGGTGTTGGGCCGTCTGAGCCCTTTTCTCAGAAATGTCGGGCCTCTCTGCTGTCCCTGGCTTTCAAGGCCAGGTCTTTGCAGGCACTCCACCCTGAGACACTGGGAAGCGGGATGAGGCCCAGTAGAAATGTGACTCGAAGTCTGGCTTCAGTAGGAGGATGCCCGTGGTCCCCACAGACGGGCACAGCGTCCCCAGGGGAACCATGACCCTTGGAGGCCACCCCTCATCTGGGGGTCACGGGGAGGGCCAGCTGCAAGGACACCTAGACCGAGGAAAGGCTCGGAAGAGTAGGGATGTGCTCCTGAGGGTTTGGCGGCAAAGGAAGGGGCGGCCCTGTGGTGCTGAGAGGGTGGCCACGCGGGACCCAGAGGGTGGATCCGTCCCCACCCAGTGCCCCATGCAGATGCGAGGCAGCCTCCCTCCCAGGGGCCCCGAACACAGGAGTGGAAGGTCGCGTACTGGGTGCAATCGACAAGCAGCGCATGTCAGCCACAGGCACTCCCTGGGGTCTGCCCCTGGGACTTTACCATTTGATGAACAGTGTGGGCCCGGTACTCCATACCTGGCTCTCCATTAGGGCCGGGGGGTCCGACGTCACCAGAATCTCCCTTTTCACCTGAGAAAGGAGAACAAAGCCGGTGTCACCAGGCAGAGGCGGGCACGTCCCTTGAGCGCGAACACAAGGTTGAAACGCTATTCTCCGTGCAGAGCCTGGGGCTTCTCCAGGGCCCTCTGGCGTGGCGAGAAGCATGTTCACAGCCTGTCGCTCGTCCACCTGGAGCATGGCCGTGCACACCGCCGGGCCTGGCCCAGTGACCGTCCTTTTGGTCGGCTCGCACGTTTCGTGAGCACTCGCAGACATTCGGCTTCACGGGAAGGTGGCAGCTGGCTCCGACGCCGGCTCCCCCCGGGCCCGGTCACCGCAGGAAACCCAGGACTAGCGCACGTGCTGCTCCGGGTGGCGGAGCGACCTGCTCTGGAAGACCAGCGCCCGCTGCAGGAGTCCCTCTGGGCCTCCTCGAGGCAGTGACATCACAGAAGGGTCGGACGCCGGGAGCCCTGGGCTGCCCTGGACGGAGGAGGACAGGACAGCCTGCCCTTCAGTTTCTCTCACTCACAGAACAGAGCGCGGAGCAAAATGACGGCCAGGAAGCCGTGCAGCCTCGGAAAAGCTGGACGGCGAGCACATGTCGGCCTGGGCCCAGATGCCTAAAAACCATGCTAAGTATGTGTACATACATGCACAAAGTCCTGATAGGAAGGAGAAATGGAATAACGTGGCATGACTACACCCCCTTAGGGGTGCTTTCCCTCTCTCTCTCTCCTCACACTCACATACCTGCCCTTCCCTCCCCTCCCCTCTCTCTCTCCTCACACTCACATACCTGCTCTTCCCCCCCCTCCCCTCCCCTCCCTGTCCCTCTCCCCACCCTCTCTCCCCCTCCCTCTGTCTCCTCACACATACCTGCTCTCTCCCTCTCCGTCCCTCACCCTCTCTCCATCTCTCTCTCCACGTCTCTCTCTCTCACTGGGAGACCAACAGGTCTCCATGAGAGGCAGTGACTCCCCCTGCATAGGGAGCTCAGAGTCCCTGCCCCTGCTGGCCTCTCTGTGCTCCAGATAAAAGGCTTAGGGACAATCTCGGGGACCAAACAGACCCAACAGGCAAGCTCCCAGCAGCTGCGCCTCGGCCAGACCCGGAGGCGTGCCAGAGCACCTGCTCATGGAGCTGGGCCACGCCCGCTGGAACACCGGCACTGGGCACTCAGTGTGCCCTGCACAACGGCCCGCAGGTGGGGACAGCGCCTGACCACTGGAGGGTGGGGCTGAAAGGTTCCGAAGCAGCTACGGAAGATTACTTAGCCTTAAAAAGGAGGCGAACACATGCCACACCACGGGTGGGCCTTGGAGACACTGCACTCGCCTAGGGGCCCGTCAGGGAAGGAATGACTGCCTCCATGTGCCCGGCTTGGCACAACAATGGCCAGGAGACAGAAGCCGGTTCAAGGCCGGGGCCGGGGCTGGAGCAGGGGCCAACTGAGGGGTCTGTTCACTGGGCACAGGGTGTCCTTTGGGTGACAGACAGGTCGGGGACTAGATGGGTGAGGGTCGCACAACACTGCAAATGTACTCGGTGCCACAGACTCTAACTCCAAGTAGCTACCGCGGGCCATCCCGGCTGTCGATGCGCCCCCCGGCACGCCCTTCAGTGGCCAGGCCATCGGCAGGGCAGGCACCCTCCTCGCCACACTCCTG